GCCTCCACGTTGAAGTTGGCCGCCTGGGGGCGTCGGCCGGGACAAACCCGGGCGCATGGGAGTCATAAACGGCGATGGCGCCCTCGAACGGGCCCGCCTCACGAGCCCGCTGAGCCGTGTGACACACGTATTCAAAATAAACGCACGTGCCCCCCACACACTCTCACACACTCAACACACACACACACGCACGAGAGCGCGATGATACTTCTCCAACCCCCGCATCTATGCCAGCATCAGACATGGGTGTGCTCGCAAACACATGCAGCATCACGCCAGCACAGCGCCCACAAGCCCACCTGCAGCAGCTTATAGAGGATGGATTCTACGTCGTCCCCCACATAGCCCGCCTGGTGGTTTCATGGGCGGTTTTGTTCGGTTGTTTTCATCAAGGGGGATGAGGGTGTGGCGGCTCAAGGGCGGCCAGCGGCGGCAGCGGTCCCTTGAGCCCGCGCACACGTGCCGACCGGCCTGGCCCATAGGGGACGGCTCCGGGCAGCGCCCAGACGGAGCATGCCTGTCAGCTGGGAGGCCCCGGCAAGTGCTGACTGGCCCCTCCAAATCCACGGCGCCCGTGAGCTGCTGCCCTGCCGAGTGCAGGGCGCGCCGCCCCGCCCCGCACCTGTGTGAGGGTCGTGGCGTCCGCCATTGCGAACGGCACGTTCACCAGCCGCGCCAGGGTCTTCGCCAGCAGCGTCTTGCCGCAGCCGGTTGGACCCTGGGGGCGGAGGGGCGGGCGTGCGAAGCAGCACGCCAGCTGAAACAGTCGATGGCAAAAGCCGCATCGCGGGAGATTTGGCGCACGCTTTGCAAACGGCGCCCTGCGGAGCAACCTGGTGTGATTAGAAGAATAGGGTAAGCTGCCTCCCAGCTGCCTCTCAGCTGTCTCCCAACTGCCTGACAGCTGCCTGACAGCTGCCTCCCAGCTGCCTCCTAGCTTCCTCCCGGCCGCAGTGCGGGGCCCCAGACCCACCAGCATGACCATGTTGCTCTTCTCCACCTCTTGAAACTCATCAGCCGCCGCTGCTCCCCCACCCCCACCCGCAGACCCAGCCGGCCCGCCGCCAGCGCCCGCATGGCCCTTGCCCGCCGCCGCCTCCTGTTGCAGCTGCTGCTGCCGCTGCGCCGCGGCCGCCGCCGCGGCCGCGATGCCGGTGAACGCGCCCGCGGCGGGGTGCGTGAGGGGGTGGCCGGGGATGGCGCTGCGCTCCACGAAGGCGCCGTCCAGCAGGCTCAGCCGGCCCAGGGGGGACTCCTGGAAGTGACACAGGGCAAGAGGAGCAGCTCGTGAGGATTGGCACGCGCAATGGTCAACGCAGCCCTATAGCGCCGCAACGCCAAGGCCACCAGCAAGACGCTCGCACACGTGCGCGCGCGCATGCAACGGCAAGGGCGGACGGAATACCGCAAGGGCTGGCAGGGGCCCGGCGCAGTGGCGGGGTCGCGGCGCACGCCCACCCACCAGCAGGCTCGGCGGCGCCCCCGACGGGCCGGCCCCCGCGGGCGCGGCACGCGGCGCGTGCTGCCGCTTGTTCTGCAGCCGCTTGAAGTGGTTGTACACAGCGACGGCCAGCGTCTTCTTGGCAGCTGCCTGGCCCACGACCCACTGGTCGAGCTGCGCGACCAACTGCCGCGGCGTCGGCACCTCCCTGACGCCCCACTGCTGCGTGGCGTGCGCGCTGCCATAGTTTTGGCCGCCAAACTGCGGCGTGCCCTCCAGCACCTGGTCCGGGGCAGCGAAGGGGAGGGATGCACGCATGCAGCAGGAGCGGGGCAGAATGGGAGGGGCCGCCGAAGTGCCCGAGAGCGCCTGGAAACGAGGCAGCGGTCGAGGGAGCCCCGGGGAGACGCGAGAGCTGTGGGTGGAGGGTGGGGCCACGCCTACGGAAGGGGCGGCGCGCCGGCAGCGCACCGTGGGAGCGCCCTGCGTGGCCTGCGCGGCGGCGTAGCCGCCCAAGTGGTCAGGATACTGCTTGTGCAGAGCGCCGCCGTCCGCGCCGGGACCCCCGTAGACGCGTCCGCGCTCCACGTCAGATTGCAGGGTCTGTTGCGCGGAAATGCAAAGGGCTGTCAGGTGCGGGAAATTTGGGAAGCAGGGAACTGCAGGCCGCGGCGTTCTGGCGGGTGCAAAAGCGGACGGGCTACAGCGCTTGGCATGGCGGGGCAACGGTGCGCCCTGATGCTAGGCGATTGGAAGGGGGGGGGGAGCGGCTCGTGTGCCTTGCGTAATGGAACAAAGCAAGTCAGGCAGTGATGCGGCTGGCTGTGCGGTCGCCTCTGTTGAGGGATACAGCTGCGTCTCTGCCGATGAGGCATCTCACCGCGCAGCTTGAGCACCAATTGAGGCCCAACGGCAGCGACTTCGGCGCCTGATGAGCGTAGCATGTTGCCCCCCGTGTGGTTGTCAGTGGTGGGATTGCATACTCGTCTAAAAGGACTGTTTCGGCACACGTCAGTACCTCACCTGTCAGCTGGCTGACATGGCATCGCCCCTGCAACAACAGCGGCCAAGGCGCATCGTCGGCCCGTGCGCACGCCCACGTCGCAACACGCACCTGCGCAGTGAGCGGCACCGGCTGCACCAATCCACTGCAATCCTTGCAGGCGGACAACCCCCTGGCGGACGACATCGTTGCACGGCCCTGTAAGGCAAAAAATGGTTCGCAGATCAATGGCGCCCTCCGCTTCGCAGAGGCTATATTCAATCTGTTACGGTAGTTTTAACCGATCTCTGCCCACCAGAGGCCCGGATTCGCTCCATCGCGACAACAGGGCGCACAAAGGCAATGCAAGGCCCCCTTGGGCGCCTACGGCGTGCGAAAGCATAGTGTTTATGCAACACGGAGAAAGTTCAGCGCCATGGTCTTGCCGCAGGCATTTACCCACTGCTGTGACCGTCAAACAGGTGGCACCTGGCGGGCCAACCCCACCAGCAGCCCGTTGAGCCCAATCCGTCAATCGGCCCCATGTTCACACGATGGCGTGACGTATGAAGATGATGCAGCTGATCTGCACAAGTGCTACGTGCACACCGTGGTGTCCTCAATGATACCAAGTGGGCATTAAGCTCACAGTCCTCGTCGGTTGCTGACGCGCTAGACGGTGGGTGACGAACCATTTCTTCACTTTGATACAATCAACAGCGCAGTCGCCTTGTTCTTGCATCCCAGGCATACTTGCTACGGCCAGGCGCCTGTGGACATGCACATTGCTTGCAGCATTCGGCTTGCACCCCCACAGCCCTCACCCGGGGCGGCCACAGGAGCCAACCCGTACAGCGCAGCGTTTGCGCCTGGACTGCATCATTATGATATTGTCTGCTGCTGTACCGGGCTGCGCTTGCGTTTGGAAGGTGCATGCCAGGGGCATGCCCCTGTAGGCACACCTGTAGACCCGCATAATACACTGCTGAAATGCCATGCTGTAGCCATTTCATGCTGCGTGCAGCTGAGGTTCCAGGCTGCCGGTCGGACATGATCGCCTGACTGGGTCGTACGGCGCTGTCGAGAAACCAGCGGTGACAGGTTGTGCTCTGGTCAACGCGGAGCTGCAGTGCGGCAACCACGCATCGGCCAGGGGGTGCATGGCATGGCACGAAAAGGGCTCATCAACTCTCTCAAATAACTCACACACTCATGTGCACCTTGTGATGTGGAGCACCCACATACAGCTTCATTGACTGAAGCTGCGGAGGCGCCGCCTGCTTGGCCTGCGTACTTGGCAATGTTATGGCATACCTGGCTGCCTCTGTCGTGTGCGTTGTATGCGTCGTAAAGCTGCTGCATAGCGCATTGGGACCATAGCATTGCCGGCGAACGAGGCCACCAGCAGAGGCACCGCACCGTCGCCATGCTGCAGCACGGGCAGAGCCGGATTGCCGGCAGCAGCAGCAGGCCTAAGGCCTTCACCAGCGGACGTCCAGGCCGGGCGTCGCTGCAGGTGGGACACGGGCCGCAATGCCAGCCATTGGGTGGTGTGGCTGCTGCACAGCCAAGCGCTCACTCGCACCCCGGGCTGGCTCGCTGTATGCAGGTGCGCAATGCTCTCACGCGGCAGAGGAAGGAGGAGATTGTGGCGGACCTGAAGGAGAAGCTCGAGGACAGCGTGATTGTGTTCGGCATGCGCTTCAAGGGCCTCGATGTGAGTTGTCCCCGGCGTTGCAGGGATGTCTCATTGCAGAGATATCGGTTCTGGGCCAATGGGCCTGTGCATGTCGCCCTGGGCTGCGCAGCCAACAGCGGGCGGCGGCGCAGCGATGTGTGCGCTGAGGGTGTTGGATTCCACTGGGGCCCCGCCCAGCCCGGCCCAGCTGCAGGCGTGCCGGAAACATCCAGTATACTCTGTTGCGACTGGCAACAGTATGTTTTGAATCGGGCAAAATAGCAACATGCAGAAGGCGCGTGGGACCCTGGGTGCGCAAGATGCCTGGCAGCTGTGTGCAATGGCGAGAGGGCTGGCGCCGACGGCAGCAGGAGGATGAGCAGCCACATCGTGCACAGTACAAAATTGCCAGGGTCTACGGTCAGCAGTATCTGCAGCTGCAGCAGTTGGACCGCTGGAACACGCCGCCCTTGTGCACAGCGCGAAAGCTTTGCCCAGCTGCCAGCGTCCCTGAGGGCGCCAGCCCCGTGTCACCTGCCCTCAAGCCTCGCTCGCGATGTGACCCATTTCTCTCGTCGCCACCTTCACCCCGTTGCTGGTTGCCCCCGGCCGCAACCTGCTGCTCGCAGGTGCCCACCGTGCAGCGGTTCCGCAAGGGGCTGCCGGAGAAGAGCAAGGTCAAGGTGACCAAGAACTCGCTGATGCGGGCGGCCTGCCAGCAGGTGGACGGCTGGAGCACCGTGATCGAGAAGGGCTGCCAGGTGAGGCGGCTGGCGGTCCTGGGCGTCGCGTCGAGGGTGGACGGGGACGAGCAGTGCCCTGGGGGGAGGGCAGCAGGCTGCGCTCGCTGCAGTGGGTGCGCAATGGCGGGGCGGAGACCGTCTCTGAAGACTGCGCGCCGCTGCAGCCGCATGCAGCTACTTGGTAGCCACCGCCTGGCGAGTGCCGGCTGTTTGCGCCAAGGATACTGCCACAGGTCTTCGTTGCAATAAGCGCACGCACCTTCTCCATATCTTCTAAGCGTTATGGTGCAGTAGCCCCCCATCCCACACACATGCGCGCGCGTGCACACACATGCACACATCACATGCAAACAGTATACGCGTGCACACACACACACACACACGTGCACGTGCACGCACTCACTCACAATGCAGGGTGAGAACGCGTGGGTGTTTGTCCACGAGGATGACATCAGCGACGCCGTGAAGTTCTTCAACAAGTTCACCGAGACGCTGGAGAAGGAGGCCAAGGCCGCCGCCCCCAAGGGCGTTGAGGTGCGGCGGGCACATTGCTGTGGGGACCCGCGCCTGAATCATTATCTGAGCTCTCCTCCAACCTTGGAAAAAGGTGCCGCAAATAGGGCTGCATCGCACAGCCCCCTTTGTATATGGGGCGGTGCAGTATAATCACGGTGTGAATGGTGCCGCGCTGGTGCAGGCCCCAGCGCCGCCACCCCTCGCCGCTTGCTGGTAGCACCGCGATGCGCCACCACCGTGCGAAGGCGCCACTGACCGCAGCTACCGGTATGTCGAGGCTGCCGCACTCGCGGCGCCCTAGCTGACGTTGCCGGCCCCGCGGACGCGCCCCGCCGCAGGTGCCTCCCCCCACCGAGGTGACGTGCGTGGTGATGGACAACAAGTACCTCACCCCCGCGGAGTTCAAGCGCTGCGAGAGCCTGCCCAACAAGACGCAGCTCATCACCACCATCGCGCGCATGATCAAGCAGCCGGCGAAGAAGATCGCCGTGGGCGTCGCCGCGGTGCCGCGGAAGATTGCGTACGGCGTCAAGGCGCTGGCCGAGCTGGATGAGGACAAGTCCAAGGTTGTGGGCGATGTCGCCAAGCCCAAGGAGGCTTAAACACAGGGTGTCAGCCCTCAACCCGCCTCATCGCAGCCGCCGCGGACGCATGGACGGCCCCGCAGCCCCGACCCTGAGCAATGGCGCGGCGCAGCACGATTTGCAGCGTTGGCAGGCCGCAGCAGAGGGCGGCGGCCACAAGCAGGGCCGTGCTGTGCCCTCTCACCAGGTTTCTGTAACTTGTTTTCGTGCACTCCCTTGTCTCAAGCCTTTGGGCCGCTTTTCTGGCCTGTGCTTGCGGCGGTTTTGCAAATTGACTTGGCAGTCGTCTCAAAGCTGCGACTGTTGCATCAGCCGGAAGCGCACGCACCCAGTCAGGCATGTGTCAAAATGGCACAGCAGCAGACGGCTTTGCTGTGCTCTCATGTGCTCCATCTGAGATTCTGGCCACAGGGGAATTGCTTTGGGCAGCACTGCCCAAAAACTGCTGAGAGGTAGACTAAGTGGAGGGTGCACTTCTGATACCACAGTGCTCTGCTCGTGGTACATCAGGGATAGTCCTGTGGTCTCTGGACAGTGATCCAAAGAGCAATGCGGCTGGCCTTGTCACCAGCCACCATGGCCTACAAGGCCTGCGGCTTGCAATGTACGTATGTCATCATGACCTAGCATCTTTATAGTATCGTAATGTGACGCCGTCGAAGGCTGTGACCGTGGGACAATCGGACAACATTCTGCACACCGGTATCTCGAGCTGAGCTTACAGGCACGCGTCGGGCCGCGTTGTGGGAGGCTATTGTGCCTCAAATCATACGCGTGATATCGATTTTTTGCCACTGTTGTCGTCTACCTGGGCCGCATCTCTCAGCCGCCCCGCAACTGCCACCCCTACCCCTCTCGCTCCGATCGCCTTCCCTTCGCTGCCGGGCGCCCTACGGCCCATTCATTCCCGAGTGTTTGGGCTGAAAACTAGTCTTAGGACGCTCAAAGATATATATAAACATTAACCCTCGACCTCGCCAGGCCGACGTGGAGTGGTGCCGGACGCGGGAAGCCCGTCTACCACCATGCTGCGCCCGGCCCTGCAGGGGGCGGTGGCCGTCCTTCTCAGCATCCCGGTCATGCTGATCCTCATATTCGTATGGCTGCCTATCTCGCTGCCCCTTTGGCTGGCAGTCTGGTGGTCGACCCGAGCCCTGCCGTCCCGCGGCTCGCTGTCGGCGCCCAGCAGCGGCCACCCCATGGAGACACGGCCCAGGGGTTGGCTTTTCTGCTACATCACCTGCCTGGCACTGTCTTGGCACTACAGCATCCGGTTGTGGGCGCTGGTGGCGCGGCCTCGCGTCGTCTTTGTGGTCTACCATAACACCATCCACACTCTGGCCAGCTTCTTCTGTCTCCACACTGGCAGGGTGAGCCAACAGGGACGCGGCTGGGCAGGGGCCTCTGCAAGATTTTTTTCATGGGTTCGGGGCTTGGTTTTGCCGTGGTCACCTGGGGCGCGGCATGTGTGCTGCGCGGGCGAGCGCGCCACGGCCCCAGCGGAACAGCAGCATTTGGGGGCGAGCCAGGCAGCCACGTCGCGCCGCCCTGCGTTCAGCACACTTGTCCCCCTCCCCTCCACGCCCCGCTGCGCGCCCTGGCTCACGCTGCCATCGCCCCGCACCGCTCGCACCGCCCCGCCACCCCGGCCCCAGATGATGGCGCGCTGCGGCCTCATCCCCGACCCGGTCGACCCCGCGCTCCCCTGGTTCCTCGGACTTGGCCTGATCTCCTGCGGCCCCGACACTGGCCTCGGCCTCGTCGTCGGCCTCGACCCTGTCCTCGACACAACCTCCAAGGAGCAGCTCACGCAGCTCCCCGCGTGCGCCCAGCGCGCCTTCCCCTTTGCCAAGGCGATCGCGATGGCCGGGCGGCTGCCCGGCCTGGTGCAGGGCGCAACCGGCGCGGCGCTGCAGGCGCCGATGGTGGACGGGCTGGCGGGCACGGTGTTTGCCATGGAGGAGACTGGTGGGTTGTTGATTAGGCGTAATGGATGTTGGATGGGTGTGGGATGGCGGGAGACACCTTGAGCGGCATGCAGGATTGAGGGGCTGCCATTATAGATGCTGGGTTTGAAGCCTGTTGCAAAGCGGACATCCCGACATGCGGCCCTTGCTTGAGCACGGGCGCCGATGCCCCCCTTGCGCAGTGCACGCGCTGCGCGCCCGCCTGCCCGAGGCCAAGCAGAAGTCTGCCACAGTGGCGATCCTGGTGAGCCGAGCCAAGCTTGTGTGCATCATCCCTGCGAGCCGGGGCGCCGCGCTGTCATCAAAGCCTTCTGTCAGGCTCTTCCGAGCGCTGGGTGAGCGCCATGCCTGCGCCCCGCGCCAACGGCCCGCCCCCGGCCCCCGCCACGGCGCCGCCGACGCGCGGCTCGAGCCCCGCAGGGCGGCGGCGGCTTCATCGGTTCGCGTCTCGTGCGCGCCCTGGCCACGCCGCCGGCCGCCCCCAAGGCGGCCGCGGCCACGGCCACCGCGCAGCAGCCCGGCGCGGACGGCGTGGGCGCGCACGCGGAGATTTTGATCCCGAATGACGTCATCGGGTACGAACGCGTCATCGCCCTGGACCTGCGGTACAAGGAGCGCGAGATCAAGGACCGTGAGTGACGTCAGCACGCGCGAGCGCTCTGTGCCTGCGTGCCGACCGTTGGCGGCGAGAGGCGGCCGCTCGGCTCGTCGGCGCGCTGCCGGGGTCGCAGCGGCTCAGCATGTCGCCAGCAACGGGCCGCGAGCGCTGCGGCCTTGTCTAGGCGTTGTGCAGAAGGTCACCAAAGAGACGGCTGAATTCTGAGCCGCTGGGGCCTGCGCTGGCGCGGCTGACCATTCTCCCACCATCCCGTTTCTTGCGCCCTCCTTACGACAGGTATCCTGTACACGTCTGACCCCGCGGACCTGTCCGCCGCCGACATTGTGCTCGTCATCACCGCGTCTGGGGAGGACGCGGCGCAGTACGTGGAGCACGCACGTGCCGGGCAGGTGAGGGTGAGGCGGGGCTGGGTGAGGGCGGCGAAATGCAGCAACCTCCCGGCGGCTGCTGAACCCGATGCGCACGCATGGCTGCTGAGATCATCCCATTTTCCGGTCAGTCTTGACTAGAACATTGCGAGCCGCGCTGAGCACCTTCCTGGTGACGTCACTGCCTACCCCAGGCGCTCGCAGCGCAAACTCCCTTCTCACACCTCACCCCTTTCAATCTTAAACCCTTCGTCCTGAACGCAGGAGTGGGGCGACGACACCCACCCCGAGATGGGCCACAAAGTGCTGCGCGCCATGGCCGCCAAGGGCGTGAACGTCCACAAAGCCATGGCCGCGCGCAGCGCCATGACGCGATTCCTGCCTCCGCTGCCTGGCTGGCCGGTCGGCGGCACGCCGGGCTGCCTGCTCATGGCCCTGGTCACCGCCGAGACGGGCCGCATGTGGAACGGCTGCGGCGCGGCGGCGGAGGGCTGCAGGGGCAAGGCCGCCGCGGGCGCGGAGGAGGCGCTGCCATACTCGGAGTTCCAGGCCGCCGCAAAGAGCCTCGGCTTCAAGGCGATGCTCGTACCGCACAAGCCCTACCTGGCATGAGCTTGGGCGTCGGCTGGCGTCCATTCGTGTCGGCGGTTCGGGCCTGGACGGCTCTGTACATGCCACGTGCAGGTGCAGGTGGCCGCGGCGGCGCCTCTTGTGGGACTGGCCACCCCCTGGCAATATCTTTCGGGACTTTGAGAGGTTCCCAAAGATACCCATCCAACGTGATGCCTCCGTAGTCGATCAGGGCGGGAGTGCGCAAAGCCGCACGTGCTTGCGCTAGCCGACACGGCCACATTGCTACGGAGAGTGGTTGCGGGCAGGGGGTTGATCCACCACCGCGCCTTACACCTGCCAATACTGGCTTTGCTTGGATTTGGACTGTGCGATTGCTGCGGCTGTCGCTGCAACAACACAGCAGCCGCAGCTAATGGAAGCCTCTGAACCCCATGATACCCAAGTCCCCGCAAGACGATGCTTATATGCCCTGGGATCATATCAGACGTCGCTCCGCACACCCTTTGATATGCTGGGTGCCGGGCCTCTTGTTGCCACCTATCCTGAACAGCCCTCTCATGCCACCCCAGCCGACGGCCCTCTGCTGCCGGTCTGCTATGCTTCGTTGCGCGCATCGTCGGCGTGGGCCTGCCCATGCATTCCTCCTTTGCCCTTCTTGGCAGCAAAACGACCCACAACCACCCATCCTTCCGAACCAAAAAGCGACTCCTAAAACGCCACTCCGAGCGATCATCGCAAGCGCGCAACAGCAGCGTCTTTTCATGACCCCAAGCACCTGGCTTGGCCTCAACCTGCTGGGGCCGACGCCGCCGGGCCATCCACTAAACTGACACGTGTGCCTTGCGTGGCACACACCTGGGATGCGTCTCAGCCCACCCAAGCGTATATTCGTACACCTTGTGTAGTCGATGGCAGCGGGGACAGCGAGCACTGTGCAGCGGGGCTCCCATCCGCCTCAGCAGCAAGGCGCGTGGGGGCGCCACGTGAAAGCTCGGCAGCACGCGCGCAACTGTAATACATGCTTTCAACGCACGTGCACTAACGAGGGATTGGCAAACGCCCACACGGCGGCGCTTGGCACCCTTGACCTTTGTTGGCGGCGTCATGGGCCGGTTCAAAGCAGCTAGAGCTGTTGCATGTATGAATGTAGCATGCAGGTATGATGAGTGCTGGTATATCAAGAGATTTGTGCTGGAGCCTGGCGCCTGCGACAAGCTGCGGCCTACCCTGGGCCGCGCCTCCAGTTGCTTGGCGCACAGGGTGGGCCACCAGGCGTGACGCCTTGTTGCAATGCTTGCCAACGAGTGCGTTGCGCCGAACAGCAGGTGCATTCAGGACTTGCGGCGGCAACACCGCTCCTGAGCCGAGGTAGGGGTGTCGTGCAAATCGTGGACTGTCTGTAGGTGCTGGTGAGAGTTGACAAGGTCACAGTCCGCAGGCCTACAGGCGGCACTGGTGCGTCTCCCAGTTCAGGACTTGAACCTGATGTCAAGAGGCCTTTTGCCACACACAGTGCGAATCCAGGACTCGCAGACGGCCAGCTCTGGGGAGATATGGGTCCTGCCAGGGAGATGTTCAAGCCAGGGTCGTCTCCAAGCTGCCAGTGAGATAATCAAGCCGAGGAGGTATTCAAGGCTGAGAAGGGAGGTGTGAAGGGCCATGGCGGTGGCAGCAGAAGCTACACAAACTATCGAACGGGACGCGCCAGCCCGCGCCCCTCCCCCCTCGCTCACCCCTGCCTGGGCAGGCAACAAGCCGTCAACTGATCAACAGCACTCGTCTGCATGCAGCCTGCAAGTGGAATGTGAGACAGCAGGCAGAGGAGGGGCGGCAGCACGTTTCATCTTGTCAATTGTGCACATGAATCAAGGAATAGATCCAGCGCTTTGCATGTGGCCTTTGCGGCGCTGCCCTCATGCCCTTCCCGGAGCAAGTTAGATCTGTGAATGTGGTATATTCAGGACCTTGAAAGTTTTCTAGATGGCAGCTGCGCGATATCTTCGCATGCTGGGACACTCGCCATGCCCCATAGATCACACCGCCTGAAGTGCCCAGTACAGTAGCGTTCTAGGTCGTCATTAGCCCTCCAGATGGAGCATTACTACGCCGAGATGCCGGTTCAGGCCCTGGATCAGCCTCCTTTGCCGCCCGAGGACGGCGCACCGCCACCGCCGCCGTTGCCGCCCGAAGGGGACGCCGCCCCGCCCCCGCCCCCGCCGCCACCCCCGCCACCGCCCCCAGGCGCGGAAGGCAGCGTCGGCATGCCGTACCAAGAGCAGTCGCAGCAGCAGGAGCAGCAGCCCGCCCAACTAGATGAGTCCATGTACCTTCAGATGAGTGCGGAGCAGCAGCAGGAGTACCTGCAGCAGTGGGAGCAGTGGCAGCAGTGGCAGGCGTACTACGCGCAGCAGCAGCAAATGCAGGACCTGCAGCAGATGCAGGCCCAGCAGATGCAGTTGCAGTCGACTATGGCGCTGCAGCAGCAGATGGCGGGGGGAGCGGGCGCAGCTGGCATGGGCATGGGCGGGGCCGTGGGTATGACGATGGGCGTCAACCACGCTGCAGTGGCGTCTGCCCAGGGCCTGCAGCAGCAGCCATATGCACAGCAGCAGGCAATCGCACAGCAGCAGGCTTTTGCGCAGCAGCAGGCGTTTGCGCAGCAGCAGCACCACCAGCAGCAGCAGCAGCAGCAGCAGCAACAGCAGCAGCTTGGCGCGGCTATGGTGCCGCCGCAGATGGGCATGGATCCTCTGGCCCACCAGCAGCAGGCGCCCTATGTGGCCGCTCCTCACGGCTACTACGACCCTTCTCTCGCAGCGGGCGCCGCAGTGGGGATGCAGCATCCGGGGATGTTGCAGCATCAGCACTTCAACGGGCAAGCGGCCGCCGCGGCCGCTGGCGCCGCCGCAAAGCGCTCGGCGGTGCCCAGCTGGCTGCGGGAAGAGATGGCGCGGCGCGCGGCCGCCGCCGCGCGGGGCGGCGGGGCTGGCCACAGCGGCGGCGGCGGCGCAGGCGGGGCCGCGGCCGATCAGGAGGCCGCCGCGCCGCCGCGGACGCAGAGCGGGAGCGCCGGCGGCTCCCGGTGGGGTGGGCTCGGGGCTGGGGGCGAGGAGGGGGCCGACGAGGAGGAGGACGCGGCGGCGGTGGCGGCGGCGCGCAAGCGGATTATAGATCGAGAGATCAAGGCCAGCCTGACGGCGATTCTGATCGAAGTCACCGACAACCTGTTCTGTGAGCCGCGTGGCCCCTTCCTTGCCTCTGGGCGGCCGGCAGCGGGGACTCGCAGTGGGGGCGCGGCGCGGCCGTCGAGCAGTGTGGCGATGGTTGCGGTTGCTGCTGCCGGGGGCTGTCAAGCGGGCCCTTCTTGCGGCCGCGGCCCAAAGGGCCGCAGCCCATAATTGCATCACCAGTCGCATTCACGCACATACATGCTCACTTTGCCCATCCTGCGACCCTCAAACCTGCAGTGGAGGTTGCGCGGGAGGTGTACCAAGGAGAGGGCGCGGCGGCCGACAGCACCGGCGCGGAGGAGTCGCCCGCCGCAGCCGGCGCGGCGGCGGGGGACGCCGTGGAGGAGGGCCCGGCCGAGGGCGTCGCGCGCGTCCGCGTGGATCCAGAGGCGGCGGGGGGGCTGCTGGTTGGGTACGGGTCCGACTCAGAGGACGAGGAAGGCGAGGGCGGTGGCGGCGGCGGGGGCATTGCTGCGCCCAACGGCGGCAGAGGGACCGGCGCAGGGGCCGGCGGCGCGGGCGGCGCGCAGAACGGCTCGCCGGCGGCCCATGCGCGGGCTGCTGCCAACGGTCGGGCTGAGTTGGGTCGCGAGGCGGCGGCGGCCCCGCAGCAACAGCAGCAGGCAGAGGGGGAGGCAAGCGCATCTGCGGTCACGGCGTCAGCAGGCGGCAGGGAGCCCGTCGGCACGCGCGTCGAGCCCGATGCCGCAGCTGCGCCCGCCGCGCCCGCCCCGGCGTCGCCGCCACCGCACCAGCAGCGGCGGCCGCACGCGGCGCCAAAGGACGATCTTGTCAGGGGCCAAATGTGAGCGCATGGCCATCCGCCACCGGGATGGGGCCGAAGCTGTGGCGGGGGTCCCCCGTTGGAGGGGCCCTGCCACGCCCTGGCCGCGCGGCGGCGGGCGTGGGTGACCGGGCGCCGTTTTGTGCGGGGACGCGCCGCGGTGAACACAATACCATCACCGCAGCGCAAAACTCACTTCCTGTCGGGCGCAACACCTGACTGTCCCAACCTGTGTTCGTTAGATGCTCTGAGCTGCACACACCGTTGGTGCCCAGGCCCGACTCTACCCCGTGACCCTCCTCTCATTGCTCCCCCCCTCTTTTGCAGCGTGTGGCTGGAGCGCGGCGGCCGCCGCGTCCCGAGCAAGGTCCTCAGCTGCCTGGCGGACGGCACGTACAGCCTCATGGCGGAGGGCCGCCTCTCAAAGGCAGCGCGCCACGAACTCTTGACGCAGCAGGACCACGAGCAGGAGCAGCAGCGGCAGAGCGAGCAGCGGCGTGAAGCGGCGGCGGCGCAGGAGGCTGCGGAAGCACGCGTAGCGGCGGCGGCGGCGGCGGCGGCAGGCGCAGCGGTGCAGCAGCAGCAGGTGCTGCAGGATGACGAGGATGTAGATATGGAGGTTGAGGATGGCGGGAATGTTTCTGAGGCAGCTGCGCAGCAGCTGCAGCAGCAACAGCAGCAGCAGCAGCAGGTGGTGCCATTGGCGCAGCAGGAGGAGCAGAAGCAGCAAACATTGCCCCATGTCCAGCAGCCACTAATACAGCAGCAGCATCAGAAGCAGCAGCAGCAGCAGCAGGCAGAGGCAGCCGCGGGCGTCGCAGATCCCGCCGCATCGCTGAGGGCGGCCGCCGCCGCCGCAGCGGCGGCAGCGATCGCTGCGGCGGCGCGAGGCGGGAGCAGTGGAGGTGCTTCAAAGAAGGGCGGTGCGGCACAGCGGGAGCAGGGTGGGCGGCGCGAGAGCGACCGCGGCGAGCGCGGGGCGCGCGGCCGCGGCTCCGGCAGCCCTGGGCGCCGCAGCAGGAGCAGCAGCAGGGATGCCGAGCGGCGGCGGGCGGACGAGCGGCGGCGCGGCAGCCGGAGCCGCAGCAGGGAGCGCCGACGCGAGTCAAGGCGGTCCCCACACCGCAGCCGCAGCCGCAGCCGCGGCAGGGACGGCGAGCGGCACCGAGGCCGCCGGCGCAGCCCCAGCAGGAGCCGGAGCCCGCGCGACCGGCGGCAGCGGCGGCGGAGCGACCACCACCGCTCGCGATCGGGCAGCAGAGGGGGCCGCGCACGGGACCGCAGTCGTAGCCGCAGTCGCAGTCGGAGCCGCGGCCACTGGCGGCGCAGCCGCAGCCGCAGCCGCAGCCGCAGCAGGGGCCGCGACCGCTCGCGAGGGCGGCGTTGACTCAACCTTCTTCCCCAGGATGCAACTTTCACCGTCGCTTCCCCGACCAGCCGCAACAGATGTGGCTGCCAGTTGTGGGACCACAAAGATCACAGGCACCGCACTCGCAGTAACCCAGCAGGCACTGCAGCACTAAACTTGACTCAGGGGATGCTAGCTGATATGAAAATGATATTTACAATTCTCAGCAAGCATTTGCACAAGCAATACAAGGGAATGCCTCTTCACCCGCGCATGGGGGGAAAATACGACACCAAGGTTGGTGGGCAACTCGGGAAGCCGCCGCGAATCCATCAGGTTTGTACACGCCAAAGAAGCAGCCCGAAGCGCGGGCTAGCTGACTGATGCCCAAACCAGTCATACTAAAGGGCTTGCACAGCAAGAATGGCAGCACATGTGTCAAGCAGCTTCCCCGTCCTTCCCCCCACCTCGGTGCGTACCAGAAAGTTCAAGCCCCCAAAGCAGACCAGAGAACTGGGTTTGAAATAGCAAACAGATCCCCTGCAGCTGTGCACGCAACACCATAAGTGCGATAAATGGTGACGACAACGACTGCCCGGCTCACAGCTCCTGCGCAGCATCCGCCGCAGCGGACTGCGCAGGCGCCATGACCGCCGCCGCGACGTCCCCGCGCGACACCTCTGCGCCGAGCGCCGCCTCGAGGCCGCCGCCGCCGCCGCTGCTGCCTTGGCGCCGCGCCTTGCCCTCCCGCAGCCGTGCCTGCGCGAGCGAGTGCTCCACGCTGTAGCCCCCATGCAGCAGAGCCAGCTCCACCTCCTCAGCCGCGCGGTCCACGGGGCGCTTCTGGCTGTAGGCCAGGCGCATGGCCGCGCCGATCTGGTTGGCGGCAGTCGCGTATGAGGGCGACAGGACCTGCGTGCGTCGCGAGGGTGGGGCGTGATTGTGGGTCCTCGCGCTGCTGTTGAGGGTGCCAAGGCGGCTGGGTGGTGTTGGGCGGTGCACATCGCACTAGCCGGTTATGGGCACTAGGCGAGGGCCGTCCGTGTCGACAAGGCAGTGCAGGCAGCGGCGGCGGCGGCGGCGGCAGCAGTGCCCCCAGTGCCGGGAGGGGCCGCTGTCCGTCTGCCTGCCTGCAGCAGAGCGACGCCCTCGGCAGCAGCAGGAAGAATTCAGCAGCCAGCAGGAGCCGCCAAGCGAGCAAAAACGGCTAAGCTGCACACCTTTCTGATGAGGGATGCCACGCCCTCTCGGGTGTAGTGGGTCCCGTCCTTGCGCACCACCGGGGCCTGCGGTGACACGACGCCAAAGCCCCGCGCCGCGGCGCGCTGGGTGTTGTGGAGCTGCTCGCTCATGAAGGGCACCCCCACAATCGGCACGCCGTGGAACATTGCCTCGAGCGTCGACTTCAGGCCTGCGGTGGTCAAAGCAGGACGCGATATGACCAGAGTTTGACCAGGGTTTGACCGGCGCATCTTACCCGCAGCACCCTGCTTTGACACAAACCGGCGAGCGGCGAGGCAAACAGGTCGCAGCGGTGGCCTGCACGCGGGTAGCTGGAGGTGAGCCTTCAGCGCTCACCGCCGTGGGTGACGAAGGCGCGGCAGCTGGGGTGGCCGAGCACGTCGTTAATCGGGCCCCATGGCACCATCAGGGTGTTGTTCCCCAGGGGCAGCCCCTCGACCGTCACGCCCTCCGGCAGGCCCCGAGGGTTGAGCAGCCACAGCACGCGGACGGGCGCCAGGTCAGCGAACGCCAGGGCCAGGTTTACGTAATCCTCCTTAGTCAGCAGGCTGCCAAAGAAGCTCGACACGGAGCCAAAGGAGATGAGCACGAGGCCGTCTTCCGCGGCGGCCTCCGCGGCAAAGGCGGCAATGGCGGGGTCGGGGATGACAGGGGACGAGGGGCGGGCAGAGACGGGCCCCACCATGATCTGGTTGTGGAGGGGTTGAGAGGGGTTTCAGTGGGGCAGCGTGGGTGGTCGGCAGGATGGGTGCGAGAAGGCAACTTGGTTCGAGGCGTCGGGCTGCAGAGGGCAGGCAGGGGAAGAGCTCGGCCGCACCGCCCTAGACTGCTTGAGCGACTGGTCCTCTACACCGGAGGGCGGCACAGCCAGAGCGCGGATCTCGGGGGTCTAGCCCATCGCAGCCGCAGGTTTTTTTCAATGAAGCCAAAGGCTCCCCTCCGCCCCACCTGGTGGGGTTCCAGCGCCTGGGGCTCCTCCAGCAGCCAGCTGCTGCTGAGCAGCCCCACCACCGGCCGGCAGCCCCCGCGGCCGAGCGGCAGCCCCAGCCTGGCGCGCAGCTTCCTGTTCGCCCCGACCTCAGCCCACGCGAGGGCCTTCATCAGGGTGTTCTGGAGGGCGTAGAAGCCGGCGTTCTTGAGGGCGCCCGCCCAGGTGCCGCGGACCTCGGCGCGGCTCAGGCCAGAGCCGAACTGCGGCGGGTGTGCGGGTGCAAAGGTGTGGGGTCAATAGGCCACCTTACACGTGGGGGCAGGGTCGAAGCCGTGAGTGGTATGTTGAACCTGACAAAAAGGCGCGATAGCGTGGTGACGCCGCGGCTGTCCAGCGGCCCGGGCGGCGGCCCCCACCACGAGTCCGCTGGGCTCCGCACGCAGCCCGCGCCCCAGCAGCAGCAGCACACGATCGAGCACATGATCGAGTGCGAGCCGCCGGAAGTCGGAGGGGCACGGCATGCGTGCGCACCTGGGGTACATTGATGGGTGCCTCCATCAGCACCATGTCGAGCACGTGGACCACGGGGATGCCCAGCGCCTGGCCCAGCAGGCAGGTGCAGGTGTCTTGCCCCGGGGGAGGGAATAGGAAGGTCAAGATGACGTCATACGACCGCCAGGACTGTAGGGGTCGCGGGTGCGGCGTGTGCAGAGGCTTGAGCATTGCATAGGCATGGGGCGAGGCTGGAAGGAGGCACACTGGAGTGTGTGAGGACGGCGGGCGCCAGGGACGCATGCTTGGGGAGCCGGCGCAGCAGCTGCGGGCGGGAGGGGCCGGCGCCAGACCAGCTGCGTGGCGCCCGCGCCACCCACGCACGCCCACCTCAGAAGTCCCCCAACCCATGCCAGCCCCTGCGCCCCTCGGCCGCCCCCGTGCCGTCACGCACCGCCCCGCGACGTGAGAGCGCGCGCCCGCCCTTCTCGCCCTCTTGTGTCCGCCGGGCGCACCTCCATGAGCGTCGCGTTCCCCAGCATCTGCTCGCAGCGCTCCGCCATCCAGTAAGGAAGCTGCGACATCTTCCGCACCATCGAAACCAGCCCGCCCTTGCCGATCGAGCCGATCCCCTTTGAGAAGGCTGCAGGTGGGGGCAGGGGCGGCGCCATGCACGCGGCGTGGGTGAGCGGCGGCGCGAGGGCAGGGGTCGGGCGACAGCCCGCAGAAGCTGACCCCGGGAGTGAGAACCGCGGCCGGGGCAGGGCTAGACAGGCAGGAAGGAGGACGGGTCGCGCGCGTGTCGATCGACTTTTGACTGCGGCTGCTGCCGCCAGCGGGGCCCCTTTTCCCTGTGCTCACGACCGCAGCCGCGCGCGCGTTTCTGGTCACTCACAGGCCATGGACAGCAGGGCGTCCACATCCTCCAGCTTCATGGCGCCCGCCGCGTCCCCCAGCCGCTTGATGGCCGCCGCCGTGTGGCCGTGGTCCGAGGGGGGCGTGACCACGGTGACGTCGTGCCTGCATCCCCGGGGGCGCAAGGGGCGGGGTGCGGGGCAGTGGCGCACGGAGGGTGCGTCGGGACACCGGGGTTGCTGGAGGGGGAGACGCGGCGTCCGGTCGCTTGGCAGGCTACTTGCAGTGGCTCGGGCTGGGTTATGATTACGCATCACCATTATCACACGAGAAGGCCAAGGCCGCCAGCCGCACCTGGTTGCGAGGACACCTGCTACGGCTACCAAATCGAAGGTGTGGCTGGAGCCCCCCATGGGGATGAGGGTCAGTATCTTGTAGCGCGGCGGCGCCGCGTCGTGGCGCGCCGCGCCGGCTGCCGGCAGGAGGCTCGTTGCACACAGCAGCGGCAGCAGCAGAAGCGCCGCGGCGAGCGGCGGTGCGCCGGGGCGGCCGGCCATTGTGGACCTGGTGAGATGAGGAGGGAGGGATGCATGGGATGGATTGGGGGGTGAGAGCGCATGGGGGTCGTCATTGAGTCAATGATTGCACACGCTCGCATGCGGGTGACGGCACTGAGCCCAAACAGGGGATTCACACAGCGTCGCAGAACCTTCCGCACATTGCAAGGTGATTGTGTGTAGACCTTCCCAGGACGGCAATGGCATGCAAGGCTGAAGAACAGGCGGGCACATCGCGCGGCACGGAGCCTGCTGCATGTGCAGGTGCAACGTGTGCTGCCGCTAGCCGCCTGCCAGCTGCCGCACGGGCATCGAGCATATCAAGCACTTGCGGAAGACTCGCCTGGCAATTTTTTGGGGCCTCGAGCGCTCAACAGCTCCGGGTGGCTTCTGTAATTTTCCAGCGCTGGGCACAGAAGAACCGCTTCAAGAGTGCTACACTGGTGAGTGCTGGGGCGGACGGGTATTTTTGTGTTTGAAGTATAGATGTGCATGAATTTGTTGAATTCAAGTCCACCAAGATCATGAGGGTCATGTCAAGGTGACGAAGTAGGCCGTGTTTCGTGATGGCGTGGGGCCACCGAATGATGCATGTACGATCGAGGGGGGAGCTTCAAAACGCGTGGAAAGCGCGTGGCTGCACCAGCCGGCCCAGCTTGCGCTCCTTGAGCACACCCATCCACCCCCATCCGTCGCTGATCACGTGACTTGGGCCACCAGACTGAAGCATGAGCATTGCCAGGCAGTGCCGCTGCCCAGAGACAATCACATTCTACCAGCAAGCGCAGCCCCAACCTCTGAGAAAAATGTTACGTGGTCTCAAATGCAGTGCATTTATCCTTCATTCAACTTGCCAGGAGATTCAAAAGCACACAGCACTGAGTGTGTGTTGGCGTGTGTGTTGGCATGTAGTCGAGGGAGCAGCAGGTGAAATCGTGCATTGAGACAAGCAAGGCAGGCGAAATCGACATATGGGTGCGTGTGCATTCAAGCATGAACCTGAAGAAACTGCAAAGATTGCATGCCCACGTCCTGCGCCAGGGTGTGCAGGGCTTGACTCAGTGCATTGAAGGTGCAAAAGAGGCCTCGACATTGTGAATCATTAGAAGGCAACGGAACCCAAATACTTAGGAATGCCGATGCGCCGCATGGTCAATGTCACAGATCCCATCTCCCCACAACTGCATCATCCCGTGGCATTCCTGGCGAGCCGCTGAGTGCAAAAACTGGCGACTGCTGCTGATACAAACCAAACGCTGATCGGCGAGACGCACACAGCATCACAACTCCCACTCGGTGTGGGGGACTGCAGCGGAGGCTGCCGATGGACCTGCCGCGTCAATCATCCCGCATGCCCCTTCCTCTCCCCCGTTGCAGCTGTCGGCGCGGTGCCTTGCCTCCCGCAGCCGCGCCTGCGCGAGCGAGTGCTCCATGCTGTAGCCCCCGTGCAGCAGGGCCAGCTCCACCTCCTCTGCCGCGCGGTCTACGGGGCGCTTCTGGCGGTAGGCCAGGCGCATGGCCGCGCCGATCTGGTTGGCGGCTGTCGCGTAGGAGGGCGACAGGACCTGCGTGTGGAACAGAAGGAGCAAGGGCATCACTTGCAGCTGCATGATTTATGATCTCATTATCTCCCAAGTTCCGCAACGATCATAATTGCCACGCAAATGGCCTGACCTGGACGCACAAGCTACACTGCTTCCAAGGACAAGCGAAGATCCTCCAAGTTTTACAGGGACCCCACCCATGTGGGCCTGTCTTGCCAGCAAACTCATTGCACACCTGCTTGATGAGGGACGCCATGCCTTTGCGCGTGTAGTGAACCCCTTCCTTGCGCGACGCCGGCGCCTCGGGCGACACGACGCCAAAGCCGCGCGTCACCGTGCGCTGGCAGTTGAGCAGCTGCTCGTTCATGAAGGGCACCCCCACAATGGGCACGCCATGGAACATCGCCTCCAGCGTGGACTTCAGGCCTGCAGCAGAGCGGCGGAGTGTTGCAATACCGTTTCGATGCTTACATTTGACCGTTCATCTGCTTTTGTGGTTGACCGTTGATCTGCAGGGCAGCCCTTGCAACGCACGCACGCCACGCAGACGGCGCCTGCGCTTGGCCCATAGCCCTTGGCTGTGCATTGTCGGCGCGCGCTCGCTCACCGCCGTGCGTCACAAAGGCGCGGCAGCTGGGGTGGCCCAGGACATCGTTGATCGGGCCCCATGGCACGACCATGGTGTTGGCGCCCAGAGGCAGCTCGTCCACCGTCCTGTTGCCGAGGGCTGCCGGGTGCAGCAGCCAAAGGACGCGGACGGGCGCCAGGTCAGCAAAGGCGGCGGAGAGTCCCGTGTAGTCGTCCCAGGTGAGTAGGGTTCCAAAGAAGCTGGAGACGGAACCAAAAGACACGAGCACGAGGCCGTCATCCGCGGCGGCCTCGGCGGCAAAGGCGGCGACTTCGGGGTCGGGGATGGTGGGGGAAGAGGGGCGGGGCGAGACTGCTCCGATCATGACCTGGAAAGGGGAGGGGTGGCAAAAGTTCTTTGGCCATTGTATGTGCAGTTCTCAGGCACGCACGTGAAGCCCCAGCACTGCGCATACAGCAGGGCTTGCAAGGGCGACTGAACTTTGCCAGTCAATCCCGAAATTCATCAATCAAAGATACGGGCGGTCTGGCCGGCCCACCTGGTCAGGCTCCAAGGGCCGCGGGTTTTCAAACAGCCAGCTGTTCGAAACCACCTCCACCAGCGGCCGGCAGGTGAGGCCGCCCCTCTTGCCGCCCAGCGGCAGCCCCAGTCTGGAGCGCAGGTCTTTGTTCGCGCGGACCTCATACACACCCAGCGCGGTGAGTGAGGCCCGGAGCATCGCCCAGTGGAAGGTGTTCTTGATGGCTCCCGTCCACGTGCTGCGAACCTGCTCCTGGGTCAGGCCTGAGCCGATCTGCGGGGATGAGTTCATTGTGGTGCCCGGCGTGCGTGGGTTGCTGTGGCAACTGGGACCTTGCGATGCACTGGCATTGTTGCACCCCTGACATTGCAGTTGCAATCGTCACCCCGCACGCGCCGAGAGGAGCTGCACGCCATGGCAACTGCCTTTGCTGGCCAGCCCGCCAGGCCGGCCGCTCACACGCCTGTCCGTGGGGCCTGGTGCCTTCGCACACCTGGGGCACACTGAGCGGCGCGTCCATCAGCAAAAAGTCCCGAACGTGCACCAGAGGGATGCCCAGCAGGTGTGCAATCACGCACATGCACCCGTCCTTCGTCGGAGGTGGGAACATGACGGTCAGGATCGCGTCGTAGGAGCGCCAATCCTGCAGGGGTCACCCAAGCGGGCGTAAAGCAACCACAGCGGAGGAGCGTGGCGGTCAGCGGCATGGGATGCTGAAGGAAGCTGCGCTGCCCTTGAGCCCTGAATCGGTGTCAACCCACACAGGAAGCCCAAGTTACGAACAGCCTGCCGCTGCTCAACCACCCGCCGCTGCTGGCCGCACAACGCTTGGCCGGCGGCGGGTTCACGCCCTTGGGGCACAGCGGCCCTGGCTGGTGCGCCATGACAGCAAGGCGGCGCGCAGATGGCAGAGCAGCCGCTTCTCAAGAGCCTCAAGCTCCCCCCTCCCT